AAACAAGTAACTCATGGAGAAAACAAATCCTCCTCTGGCCCCTCTGACAGTGACTGCTTTGAGCCTTAGTCGCATCAGAAAACATTCCTTGCTGTAACGCCTTGTTGCCGCAGATGACTTTAGCCACATTTTTTTTTTTTTTTACTATCAGCATGTCAGAAGCTACCCTAGTTAATGAAACTTCTCTCAAACTTCCCCTTCAGTCTCCAACGCCATTGCAAAATTTCCAGCTGTAACCATTAGTAATGAATTGTAACCAGGCTCAACTGTGGAATCAAATGTGTAATTGAGTTATTTTTGTAGGGAAGTGTAGTGATGTTAGCAATTGATTTTTTTTTAAATGGGGTGGCGTAGAAAGAGAGCAATAAACCAAATAGAGCAAGTGTTAACAAATGGTGAACGTAGGTGATGGGTAGGTACATGGTAAGGAAAGAGTTCGTCCCCATCGTGTGTGTGTTTCTGTGCATGCGTGTGTCAGGGTGTGCGATGGGGGGGTGTGTATGGAAAGAGAGAGAGCACTAGTGTACTGATGTCGTAGTCAAAAAAATTAAAGCTTAGTGAACTACTCTTTTCTTTCCTTTGTCCTCTTTGTAAGCAGGAAGCCAAGTGAAGGGCCAGAGTTGGACTCATAAGTCCTGCATGTAAAGAGTGGCCAGAGAGGAAAGCAACTGGGCTCAAAACCAATTCTGAGTCCTAGTCCAAGAATGAGTTTTTCTCGAGTCAGAGCAGTGGTTCCCAGACTTTCAGATTCCATGGACCAGTAAAATTTCAAAACTACTTTGGAGATGGACGTAGAGTTGCTAACATTTTACTTTGCCAAGTAAGGATATTTTGAAGAAAAAAAAAATCTATCAGTTACTATTACCATAAAAGGTACCTTTCTAAAAGAAGGTACATTTGAACTGTAAAAAAAGTGAATACATTTCGCTTCACTTTAGTAGAAGTCTCTACATCATCCTTATTTTTGTATTTAACATATTTTCAAATAAGAAGACTTTCAATTATAAGCATACAAAACTAAACAAGTGATTTGAACGCTGAGAGCAGGACAGTTCCAGAGTGAAGCCCACGGTGCCACAAGGTCCTGGAGGACTCAGGGGCTCCTCCCACCTTTCCCCTCTCCTGTCTCTAAGTGTCCATGGCTCCCTTCATCTGTAAGACAGCGACAACATTTCCAAGGGGAACACACAGAAGAACCAGCAGCTAGCCAAGAAGAGAGGCCGTTTCTGCTGCTGTGTCAGTTCCAACGAGGAAGAGTGTTCAGAGACCCCTGCAAATTTGCCCTCTGGTTGCAGTGGCCAGAACTGAGCCCCACTCCATACACGAGCACCAGGGAGGCAGAGACTATCTGCGGTATTTTTGCCTCTCTACTGCAAGCTGCGTCTGCCACCAGGGGCAGGGATCAGCTATTTGTAGGACCAAGGGACTCTATCAGGTCTCTGAAGGCCTCGTCTGGGGCTAGCATGCCTGAGTGTGAAGCCCGATATTTGGGAGCTGATCACTTAAAGCTTCCCTTGCTGAGGCCTGCAGAACCTGTTGAGCATATATCTAAGAGTCTAAGAGATGCTTTATTTAATTCCGTCCAAGTTTAGAGCAGAGATTTGTGTAAATAACCCTCAAAGTCTTTTTACATTGCAAAGGAGCTTGAGGAACCCTGGCCAAATGATATCATAGCTCTTGTTGAGAAAAGTGTGAATAATCTCCCATCATTTTACCCCCAATTGCATATGGACAATTACTCATCTTTATTAACTGCCTTCTTGAATTATTCATGAAAGCAAAGATATTCAAACCCACAGAACTGGCCTTGCCATATAAAGGAAATTGTAACAGCTCCTAGTGAGAGTTGTTAATGTAATTAAAATGAACTTTTTACTATGTTGACAAGCTATGAAAAATGTGGTAGCCCACAAATAAGTTTAAAACATTTTAGCCTGAAGTTGCACTCTCTTTCGTGACTGGTCGCACCCCTGAAATGGTATAGAAGGTAAATTACAATTTTAAGCAAAAATTGAAGAAACAGATCTCCAGAATAAGATGACAGAATAAAGCAATAAGATAGAAGCTCTCTTCCCCCCTGCCTAACAAAATAAAACAAACAAAACCAAAAAAGAATAATAATAATGATAAACCCTACCAGCAGCAAACTAGAGAGGCAGGATAATTTTCTGCCATTAATATTGAAGAATGGTACCTGAAAAAAAGTCTGGTTCAGCCCACAGCTTGATACAGCTTCTAAATTTGCCTCCACCCGTCATCAATCGTATGTAGGAAAGAAAGTGAGTCAACCAAATCCCGAAATTCTCATTAATACTCTCCATCATCAGAAGAAGCAGGCCGAGGGACTCAAGAGCAGAAGTCCCTACCTACCGCAACTGTAAGGATGAGAAAGGCCACCATCTATGAAAAACAGGGTGGGCATTGCTCAGAAAGTCAATGTAGATTTATCATATGTGTCAGGAATTCCATGTTTGGGTATATACCCCCAAGAGACTCTGAGGATTCCAGTGGTAGGGTCTGGGGAAGGGAAGGCAGATGTCCCTCTGGCCACGAAGGTGGCAGGAAGCCCCGATGCAGCCCAAGAAACAGGCCAAGGAAATGGACGAGGAAGATACGGCATTCAAGCAGAAACAGAATGAGGAGCAAAAACAACTCTAAAAGTGAAGGCCAAAGGCCATGGGGAAGTCCCCCTGGCCACAGGTGGAATTAAGAAATCTGGCAAAAAGGAAGCTCTTCCTTGTGCCTGAGGCAATGGTGATCCTTAATTCCATTCCTGTTTAAACATCTGGATTCTCTGTCATAGCGTCTGTTGCCGCCTATAGCTGGAATGAAGTGTTGTCTTAGATCCTGTTGTACATTTAAGAATAAACTTCTATTAAAAATAATCTCTAAGAAAAAAAGAAAACACAGACTTCAAGGGATATTTGTTATACCTATATTCATAGCAGCATTATTCATAAGAGTCAAAAGGTGAGAGCAACCTGAGTGTCCATCGGCAGATAAAAAAAACAAAATGTGGTTTATCTTACAATGGAATATTATTTGGCCTTAAAAAGGAAGGGAATTCTGATATATGCTACAACATGGATGAAACCTGAGGACATTATGCTAAGTGAAAGAAGGTAGTCACAAAAAAGCAAGTACTGTATGATTCCATACGAGGTACCTAGAGTAGTCAAATTCATAGAGACAGAAGGTAGAAGGATGGTGGCCAGGGGCTTGGGGGAGGAGGAGTAAAAAGTTAGTTTTAATGCGCACTGAGTTTCAATTGGAGAGAAAGGAAAAGTTCTGGAGATGGATGATGGTGATGCTTATACAACAATGAACGTGCTTATGCTACTGAACTGTGTGCATAAAAATGGTTAAGTTGTAAATTTTATGTTATGTATATTGGACTACAATTTTAAAAAGAAAGAAAACCCTCAAGGACTTGCCATCTTCTAAGCACTATGCAGATATTGGGAAAAGATCCTAAGCCTACAGGATAGGACACACTAGCCAGATAAGTGGCTTATGATACAGGGCTGTGGTGGAACGTATTATTGTTCCCAGCTGCTCTCCTGTTTCCCCATATTGCCCTTTGCCGTGTGACTTGAATTAGTCCCTGCTATGGAACAGTTTGCTTCCCTGCCCATTGACTTTGGGCTTGGTCATATGACTCACTGTATTTAGCAAATGGAATTTAAACATATGTGATATATTTTATATCCTGGCCTTTGGTGGTTGGCTCTTTCTTTTTTCCTTTTGCCATGAGATTGTCTTGTCAAGAATAGGCACTGCATGGATGATTTCCATTTTGGATGTTCATTTGAGTGCACTGGAAGGACATATCCACACTAAAAACAATGAAATGTTGACTTATTAGCACATACTGTGCATAGCAATCGAGTGATTCTCTTTCCCTGCATTTTCCCCATAAGGGGAAATGCTTCCTGAAAATGTTGCCTTAGATAGAATGTTCTTTTCTGCCACATGCTTGGCTTCCCAACTTGTGAGCCAGGTTCTAGATGAGGGTGACTATTCTGAGATTGCATTGTGAAATCTTGCCTCCTCCACATTTATCTAGAGGAATGAAAAGAGCCCATCCTTATGAGCTCATGGGAAAATTCTGGAGCTCTTGCCAGAGCACCAAGAGGAAAAGCCATTGCTTCAGACAGATAGGGGTATCCAAACCTGGAGTGGCAGGACCATTAATCACCATAGCCCAATCCCTCAACTTTCTTCCTTAGCTTGTATAAATACACCCTCCATTGTTCTTGGTTTTCTTTTCTATTTCAAAATTCAGAAGTTTTCTTCTTCTACTTGAGATGTGTAAGTTGCTAAATCTGGGGCAGATCCTTTCTTTCCCGATGTAACTGTACAGGAATTCTCGCCTCTTCCCTCAGTGTCTGCCCAAAATCGGTACAGTTACGAGAGCTGCTGCTACCCACAAAGAGCAGGCTGCTGTCCCTTGGGCTGCGGAGCAGACAGAAGGAAGGAGAGAGGGTTTTTTGCTAAGAAGGCCTGTGGCAGCCGCCTGGATGCATACACTTGCCAGACAGAAAATAGCCCAAGATGATGATTGCAACTGATTCTTGATTGCTAATTTCTAGTTGCTGTACTAAACACAGAGTTAGAAACATTGTGTGCTCGGAGGGTTTGCAGTCTAAACTGCCAGTGGTATGCCCTGTGCATGAGGCTGGTCAATAAATAATACTTGATGAGTGGGCAGTCTGTTAGGAGGGAGGGACAAACTGGCTCTCTGAGTAGTTTAAGCGCTCAGTCCAAGAGTAGAGAAATGGGATTCTGCCAGAAGTTGAAAAGTAGTAACAAAATGATGAATAATCATGCCTATTTATGAGCAGGGAGGGGTTTTTTTTAATACCACAAGGCCCAGGTACTTTTGAACACAGCTCCCAACCCTTCCCAGTGGCCTCAGGAAGTTTGAGGGACAGATTCATCCCCATTTTTGAGGAGGAGAAGTTGAGTTATGAAGACATGAGTCAGCTCTTCCATGGTCATATGGTACAAATAGTCCCAGAGTTAGGTTTCCTGCCTTCCCACCAAGGAAGGCATTTTTCAGACCTCTGGCCTCCTTCACAGGACTCTTCTGATAGAAGTGTCACCTGTCAAACATCCAAAAAAAGCCCAACATGGCTTTGGCTTTGATTCACAAGTTGGCCAACAATTGGTGATGTGAAATGGGGACCTTCCCCAAACAGGGCAGGAGAACAGCAGAGCAGGAGTGAGTGCAGCCCGGGTCAGTGTCCTGTGCTGGAGGGAAGCAGACAGTCACCAGACATCTCTGCTGTCCTTGATGTGTGGCCCTCCACAGGTGACAAACAGGAAAGACTTGCCCCCTAGTGATCAGATCACCATCTGAGGCACTGGATAACACAGTTGGCAAATAACAGACTCCACACGTGCCTGGCTCAGCTCAGCCCCATCTCTGAAAATGAGCATATGGCTCAAGAAACCCTGTGAGTGCCCACACTGCTGTGTCCATTCAGGTCGGCTGGGCAGTGTGAAGTTGATTATCAGCAAGGGAAAAATCGGTACCCTGAATTGTCCTGAAAAAGAATGAAATGGAAACCAACTAGTTTAACCAAAGAAGCAAGATACTTGTTTTTTAAAAACCGATTCACCAAATAAGACAAAATACAAAGCCAGAAGTTGCCAGTCAGTAGAGATTTGGCATTTGATTGTGGTGGACCAGCTGTCCAAGATGACAGGATTGTTGTTGATGGGTCCGGGCCTCCAGGGAGATGGACCTTGGATGGTGTTGCCATGGCCCAATCACACTTGTTTACATCTGTTCCTTGGAATACTAAAACAGCATTGTACTCCATGCCCTATGCCTCAGAAACCTAGCTGCTGTCCCCTTGGAAGCACAGACGGCCCTGTCTTTAAAAAAATCTTCAAAGCATAGGGCAGCCAGAGGGCACAAGTGACACTGTGGCAGAAAAAGCAGTAGATGAGGGGTTAGAAAAGGTGTTTCCTCCCTCTGCCTCTATCACCTCTCTGATATCACTGGCTACGGTTTCCTTAGATAAAGTGGAGCTCATACTTACCTTCTCCACATGTTGATGTGAGGCTCAAATGACATCCCACAAAATGCAAGGTCTTGAGGTTGTTGTTGTCCCAGGGCTGTTGCCTTGGCTTCTGGTAAATCTCAAGGTGGTCCTATATCACCATCTCAGTCACCTGTGGAGCTTGGCCTGCCACTTCCCCTCAGTTCTTGGAGTGCAAACGTGCTGCTCTTTGGATATTCCTGTGGGTGGATCATCATTCCTGTTGGATAATTGTCAAATAGTGACTGCAGTGATACTCCAACGTATGTCCTTGTTCCTGGAGCGTGTTTGCTAGAATCTAGCGCTGGCTCTACTTCAAGCAAAGGTACTGAAGATTCTGGCAAAGTTTAGAGTATCTCCTAAACCTGCTCCCAAGAATCAGTCCTACAGAAGATCATTTGACAAATCCTGAGACTCAGCACTATTCTCTCTGTATTTAAGGAGGGAACTGAGAAGCCAGGACTGAAAACTGAGAGGCAACATTTAATGAGACAAAAAGTTTGAGATGATCACAGTGAATGTCTGAAAACAAGACACACAGAAATCATGAAGTTAGATTGTGAAGGAATTGATTTGATGCCTTTTAGGGTGTCTGTGCAGCCCCTCTTCTTGAGAAGAGTCTCCTCATCCATCATGTGAGAGCCTCACAGACATATTTGGGTCATGTGGCCCTTCTTCCTTGGCTGTAGCTGATCAGGTGGAACCTCAGTCTGGATGGGCCAATGGGACTTCCAAGGAATGTGGAGTTGGGATGCAAGGATGCAGCTAGTCTCTGGGGGTGGCTGGACCCGAGGGACATGTAAACTTGTGCTCTGTGGAGAAGACGTCTCTCATGTGCATGGAGGCACAGAGGAGGCTGATCTAAACAGAGAGGAGAAAAAGCAGCCACACAGAGTTAGCTAGAGATGTGAGCCCATCAGGCCCCAAGAAGGAAGTAGTTGCCTTAGTTCTTGACAGTGCCCCCGGGTTTGATTCCAGTCCCTTGTGAGACGCACTTCCTTCCTGCTACTCTGTGAGATGCTTCTGAGTCCTTATACTACATCTTCCTTTTCTCACTTACACTAGTTTGAGTTCGTTTCTTTTTTCTTTTTTCTTTCTTTCTTTTCTAAATCTGGGGCAGATCCTTTCTTTTCTTTCTTTCTTTCTTTTTTTTTTTTTTGGAGTTCATTTCTATTATTTGCAATTCTCATAACCTTAAGGAACTCAAGAAACTTTCAGGTCAAATGAAAGCATTTAGACTTTATTCCACAAGTGGTGGGGACAGTGCCCAGGCAGTAAACCAGTAGCTCCTCAAACCATCACTTAAAGAAAATATTGAAATGTAGCTGAAACGACATCTTGCAATTAACAGCCACTTAGTAAGTGGTTCTTGAATTACATGAATTAAGTCATGTGTAGGACACTATACTGTTAGTTCAACAAAGGAGAGGAAGACAGTGAGATAGATCTTTCTAATCTTCAAGACAATCAAGATGATCTGGTGCTTAGCAAGTGACACCTGGGAACCTTCATCTCTTTTAGGTAGTCTATTTTCAGAATATGTCTCTATATTCCAACATCTATTAGTGTGTAGATGGTACAAGAAAGGCAATATTTATGGAGACTTCTTTTACATTTGGTAATTACAGACAATGGATATATACTTCAAAATATTTATGGACGTGCCTGGGTGGCTCAGTCAGTTAAGCGTCTGCTTTCAGCTCAGGTCATGATCCCAGAGTTCTGAGATTGAGCCCCACATCAGGCTCCCTGCTTAGTGGAGGGATCTTCTCCCTCTCCCTCTCCCTCTGCTGCTCCCCCTGCTTATGCTCTATCTCTCTGTCAATAAATTAAAAAATATATTTATAAGAAAAGATCTTTCCCAAATACATATATATATTTTGGTTTATGAAGGGTTTCGTAGGAGCACTCTACTTTCAGGTAGTGGGAGAGACCTTTGTTGGAGACTGTGCTAGGGACAAGAGAGGAATAGAGAGACAAACCAGAGAACGAACACGTAAATCACCATAGGAGAGGACTTAATATTAAAGAATGAGGACTTTGACCAGAGAATATTTGGCATGGAGATGAATTCTTAGTCTTTATACCTATCTTATATATCTTAAAGATTTTCAGGTTGGAGAGAAAATAGACTTGTCATGGGCTATTCTAGAGAAGGAAACTACAGGGGCACCTTTTTCATCCCAAACAAGCAGTATTGTCCCAATATTACATGGTATGTTTTTTCTAGCTCTTCTGTTAACAGCTACTGTGCTTTGCCTCACAGCGGGCCAGTCATGGAATCTGTGCCTTGGTTTTTCCCATTGTTTGGTATGTGACCCAGGCATTTTCCTTTCCATTAGTATCTTAGTATGTTCAGGCTTTGATAAAAACATGCCACAAATTGGGTGGCTTATGAACAAGAGAAATTTATTTCTCACAGTTCTGGAGGCTGGAAGTTCGAGATCAAGTTGTCAGCATGTTTATATTCTGGTGAGGCCTCTCTTTCTGGTTCCTAGCTGGAGCCTTCTCACTGTATCCTCACATGGTGGATGGAGCAAGGGAGCTTTTATAACAACGCTAATCCCATTCATGAGGGTTGCACCTTCATGACCTAAGCACCTCCCAAAGGCCTCATCTCCAAATACCATCATCTTCGGGGGCAGGGGTATACGGGGGGTTAGAATTTCAACATATGAATTTAGGAAGCACAGATGTTCAGACCATAGCGATTGGGTTCATGTTGCAAGCAGCTCAACAAGTCTTACCCAGGACCTATAAGAGCTGCCTGAAGGAAAGCAGCCTGTCTCTCAACAGTCAGTTCCTAGCATGGGGCATGTGCACAGAGAGGCAAGAAGCATCCTAAAGGGAACATTGGAGGAAGTGAAAAATCAAGATGTCTTCTACATAACTGTGATCCCTTCAGCTTCCTGATCCTTAAATAATAGTAGTATTCTTCCTTCACAAACTATTCACTGGGGAAGAGAAAATAATGCATAATACATGCCATGTAAAAAATAAAAAGACAGCAAAATGTTGTAAATAAATTAATATTGTACTCAGTTACAACACAAATGTATTACTCAGCTCATCTTTATTAACCTCTACCTCCTCTTCTAGTATACAAGTTCCTTAAGGACAGGGTCTGTGTCTTTCTGTGTTTTATTTTGTTTTGCATCCCATGACCTGACAAACATTTTTTAAAGAACTGAAATTTAGGTGCATCTTTGTTTTTCATAGTTTCCAACATCTAAAGGAAATGACTTACTTGAATTCAGGGATTTACATAAGCTGCAAGTGTACTTTGTCAGCTTGGGTTGCCGTAACAAAATACCACAGACTGAGTGGCTTAAATAACAGATACGTATTTCTCACAGTTCTGGATGCTGGGAAGTTCAAGATGAAGGTGGTGGTAGATTCAGTTCCTAGTGAGGGCCCTCTTCTTGGCTTATATATGGCTTCCTTCTGCAAGGTCTGGTGTCTCTTCCTCTTCTTATTAGGGCACTAATCCCATCATGGGGCCCCACCCTCATGACCTCATCTAAAACTAGTCACTTCTCAAGGATCCCACTACCAAATACCACACACTGGGGGTTAGGGCTTCAGTATATGCATTTCAGTATAAGCATTCAGTCCATAATATATACTTATTAGGAAAAGAAACTCTCCCCAACTCATGCAGGGTCCACTCTTCCTTTTGGAGGAAGGCTGTGCCCTGGGTAGAGCTCTAGTTTCCTACTTCCATATAGGTAGAAGAGGGCAGCCTGCAATAGGGGGGTGTTTGGAACAGACTCTTGTGTATCCCAGGATGAGATTGGCCTTCCTGGCAGGTTGTCCTGTGAGATTATATTAATGTTATAGTTCTTACCTTAGCCCTAGACTCAACAAGACATGGAAACTTCCCTCCAGAAATCAGCCATGGTTAAATTAGCCCCACCAGACCCCAAACAGAAAGCACCATGACTCTGCAAGCTGAGCCCCCTCAGGCTGATCCAGTGCAGCAGAAAATGTTAGAATGCTTAAGCAAGATTTCTTGAGGCTTTGGCAGCCATTATTGTTGCTCTTTGACCCCAACTGGCTTTCCTCAAGGTCTCTCAGATCACCGTGAGGCAAGGGCCTCAGACCTCCCTTCCATAAACAATTGTCAGTCACCATCCAATGGCATTCATCGGATGCCGGGATTACCAAACCTATGGGAGCAGTGGGGAATTGGAGGGTTTGTAATCATTTTTACAGGGTAGAGGCCTTTACAGGGTGAGGGGGACCAGACAGAACTGTGATCTCCATCCCTGGAGAGAGAGAAAACTTAAAAATCATTTAATTATGACATTTGGGCTGAATATTAACAAGCTCAAAAGTTTTCCAACACCCTTCCACAAAGCCTCACAGCCTCCAAATGACTTCAGCTGCTCCGAGACAGTCCGCTGTGTGTCTGGGGCATCAATTTGATTTACAGAGCATTTCAAAATATTTATATATTTTTTAGGGTTTCCATCACAGCCTCAGCCAGTAACCTGCTGTGTTTGAAAATGTCTGGGCAGTAATTGTCATTGTTTGCAACAGCTACTTTGGACTCCACTGAGCCCCGTGGCATTTTGTAGAATCTAGGAATGCAATTACCAAAGTTGTATACATAGTCCAAGTGACCTCTTGGCTTCAGAAGCTCAACCCTTAGGGAAAAAAGGATAACAACAGAAAACGTTTGTTTGATTTTTCTTCTGTAGTTGGTCAGTGGTAGGTGGATTATATTATGGCCAATTTGGCAAAAAGATGATTAGTGTAACAATTCCTTATAAGTACAAAACAATGTTGAATTAAACATACAAGAAAGAATATGACGGGGATGATGGGCTCCTCTGACCCATTTTCCTACCTAAGTGTTTGTGGAGGAAATTAGATACTGAGGGGATGTCTGGGTCCTGTAATGATTCATCTTCCATGATGCAAGAGATTTTTTTTTTTTTTACCAATTAGAAGAGGGCACTCATGTCATTTAAAAAACAAGTTGCTAACAGTCAAAAAGTTTATGTAAAGAGAAAAAAATGTATTCAACAAGAAAGAGATCATTTTGGAGTCAGTAAATGAATTTACAAGTTGCCCTGTGTGTCATTAGGGATTTAGGTTTTTTGGATCTTATCAGCTTCTGACAGGCTCCGATTACTCCCAGATTATTTTCTCCTCTCCTGGTGTGTGTGTGTGTGTGTGTGTGTGTGTGTGTTTGGCTTTCAGATACTATCTGGA